ACGTGAGCGCGGGGACTTACAAGGCAGTTGTGTGTCGAGCCGGTTGTAAGATTAAAACAAGAAGGAGTAATGTACAATCGGTCAACAAGTAAATTGTACACGAAAGATAAGAGTTATCTTTTTGGGCGCTACAAGGGAAGTGTAGCGACAAAGTAGAGTGTATGCAGTGGACTGCATACTTTTGCTGCGACAACTGAGGTGGCTTGGTCGTGTGAGTCGTATGGATTGGACGCGGATACCGAAACAACTATTATATGGTCAGCTGCGTATTGAGTAGCCTCATGTGAGGAAACCAAACCAGGACATGATTAAAGGGAGCCTCTCAGGTTTTAAGCTTGATTGCAAGTTATGGGATTTGAAGGCGGTTGATCGGCGTGCACGACGCGATCTAATCAGATTCAGATTCAGATTCAGATGAACTGGAACGATAGGAAAATCCCTTGAGTGTTCCTTCTTGAGCAAATCGTTGAGCCAGGAAATGATAAGGTGTTAGTTCTTGATAGATCTAAAACGAAACACCCGAAACACACCCTGATCAACCAACTACTGCCCACGTTCCCTGCACTAGCAGTCCGCGCTGTGTAGGTTACGTGAAGTAAGAAAGAAGTAGAAAGTAAATGAAAAGATAAAGGGGAATGAAAGTCATTAAAATGAAGGATAACACCAAAGAGTGAAGATAATGACAGAATAAGAACTGAAAGTTTGAAGATGGATATGGTCAGGAGAAGGGAAATGTTTCGTGTTGCCACCCAAGAGCGTCTAACTGACGCTCGAAACCCTTAACCGTAGGTTCACTGACTACATTTTCTGGAAGCGAGTTCCAGCGCTCGATAACTCTACGCGATAACCGAGTTTCCGCCCTGATCCCGTCAGAACGCGGCTTGTGTAGCTTCATGGGATGACCGCGAAGACAAGGCAACCTAGCCGGGCTAAACAGCCAGCGCAAGTCCGGCCCAACCTTCCCTGTTAAAATGCGGTAAGTAAGGATTAGGTCTCCTCGAAGCCGTCGGTAGTGCATTGAATACATACCCAAGCTAAGTAGACGCTCGGGGTACGATTGCCCCCGTAACCCCTCGACCAATTTGGTACCTACTCTCAAAACCCTCTCAAGCTCCATTTTGTCCCGAACAAGGCAGGGCGCGCAAGCCTGGACGCAGTATTCCAGATGGGGCCGAACGAAAGCTGAGAATAGCTTCACAAATATGTCGGCAGTTAAGACCCCGAAAGAACGGCGTATTAACCATAACATTCTGAAACCCCTACTAGCGGCCTTCTTCCAGTTGTCACCAGAATGCAAAGACGAGGAATGAACGACACCTAGATCTATCTGGTTGGAGACAAGGGGGAGTTCGACCCCACCGAGTACGTAGCTCGAAGGCGGGAAAGTTGCTCCTATACGAAGGACGGAACACTTAGCCTGATTTATGGGCAGTAGCCACAAAGTAGACCAGTCCCAGAGTCTGTCCAGTGCACGCTGTATGGCCTCAGAACCCCCAGGAATATTTACAACATTCCATAGCTTAAGGTCATCAGCAAACAATAAGGATGATACCCCAAGCTCTCCAGGGAGATCGTTTACGTAGATAGAGAACAGCATCGGTCCAAGGACCGAGCCCTGTGGGACACCGCTAAGGACCGCTTGCTTAAAGGATAAGCTGCGACCCACACGTACACACTGCTCTCTTCCCTGCAAAAACGCAGATACCCAGTGAAGGGCGCGGCCAGATACGCCGTAGGACCTCAGCTTATGTGATAGCCTCAAGTGGGGTACCTTATCAAATGCTATCGAGAAGTCTACGAAAAGCACATCCACTACGTGGCCATTGTCCACTGCCTCGGCCCAAGCTTCACGAGCAACCAACAAATTCGTCAAACACGAAAACCCCTTCCGGAATCCATGTTGTGCACTGCTGAGCAGATTAAATCTATTCAGGTGACATTCCAACGAATCTCTCATCAGCTTTTCAAGCAGTTTGACCACGACGCTAGTCAGACTAACTGGCCTATAATTGGCTGACAGACTCCTGTCGCCATTTTTGAAGATAGGACAGATGACAGCCTCCTTCCATTCGGAAGGTAATGTACAGGTGTCAAGTGATTTCTGAAACACCATCGTCAGCGGTCCACTTAGTTCCCCCGCCAACACATGCAGAAGCTTCGGGTGAATTGAATCAGGTCCAGCTGATTTGGAAGGGTTCAGTTCTTGCAGCAGTTTAAGGACTTGCGTTTCCCCCACAGTAAACTCAGCTAAATAAGAACCATCAGGTACTCTGGGGACAAATTCAACGCTAGTCAACGCGGCCTCACGTACAAAAGCCCCTGCATACTGTTCCCCAAGTACACGAGCCTTATCTGAGTCCGCATACGCACGAGTTCCATCGGCCCTCATCAAAGTTGGGATTACCGAAGTTGAACCACAGCGTCTCTTAACATAAGCGAAGAACTTCTTCGGATTTTCCGAAGCTCCGTCAGCCAATTCCTTTTCGTACACCAGCCGAGCTTTCCTTAAGTGTTGTTTACACCTATTTCTAGCCTCGCGGTACCTAGCATAGGTGCTAGTTGATGGAGCCGCACGGTAGGTCCTCCAGCACCTAGAACGCTTCTGGAGCAGGTGCTTGCCAGTGGTATCTATCCACGGCGGCCGCGTCCGTGTCTCCTTTCTCCTCGCAAGCGGGATGTAGGTAGTAGACACTTCCGTGAGATAAGATTTAAATTTATCCCAGGCCGCCTGAACCGTATCAACCACCGAGATTTCACAACGCATCCCAGCAGCCTTGGTACGCATTGCCTGATAGTTAGCACGCCATATGTTTGGAAATGGCTTAGCAATGCTCTGGTGACGCCTGGTCAGACTACACCTGAACGATAAACAAACATGATCACTAGCACCTAAGGGAGAGCCGTAAGTGATGTCCCCTACGAAGTCTAGTGACTTGGCAAACACTAGATCCAAAATAGACGGGAGTTGGGCGTCCATGTACCTAGTGGGGAGGTCCACGAACTGATACAATGGTACTTGTAGCGTAAGCTCAAGTAGATCTGCCCCGAAAGTACCTTCTGCCGAGTTGCAAGAAAGATCCGCCCAGCAAACTTCTGGTAGGTTGAAATCCCCCAGTATCAAACACCTGTTTGCGGATTGGGAGCGAATAAAGTCAAGCACCTCTTTGGACGCACTTCCAGGGCTTCTATACACAAGTACGACTGTAAGTTGAGCTGAGGAAGTGTTAATCACTACCGACAGCGCTTCGACAGTTTTATCTGCCGTCTGAAACATGTAGGTGCGTGAAACGTCAAGTTCACACCTAACGTAAAGCGCAACGCCCCCGCCTTGTCGGCCAACGAAGCGATCACATCTAAATAGTGCGTAGCCAGGCAGATGTACTTCACCGTCCGTGATGTCTTGAGACAGCCACGTTTCAGTGAATGCAAGTATATCGGGATGAGACCCATCTACAAGCAGACCTATCTCGCACATCTTATTCCTTAGGCTCCGCACATTGCTTAGCACTATTTGAAGGTACTCGTAATGTCCAGCCCTGGGTCGTGCGCTACCAGTACTGGCACTGGTAGGGCGGAAACAGACCGCCGGCTGACCACCCGAAAACCCACCAACCGGAGACCTTGTTCACCGGCCGCTCGCCTGGTTTTGAGGTCCTTAATGGCCTCTTTTAGCTTCAGCCTATCCGCTAATGGGAGGTCTGGCTGAACACTAACATTAGTACCCTTCAATTTGAAGGCAAACCGCAACAGCGCGTTGCGTTCCTCCGGGGTAGATAGGACTACCCGAAGTAAGCGCGGTCGAGGGTTTGGGGCGTTAACTGGGACGTTACCCAATCTAGTCAGTTTCCTGACAGTAACACCGGGAAACCCAGGCGGAAGAAGTTTGGTTACGCACATCTTAAACCACTGTAGGTCGTCTAATGTACGTTCGGCAGGAAGTGCAGCAGTGGATTCCACTGCGTTACGGAATATCACACTGCTATCCATGAAAGCATCACCTCGACGGGGTGTATTTACCCCACGGGTTTTGGAATTTACATGAACCGCAACCGGCTTAGCCGCGGAAAACGAGACTGGGCGCAAGTTATCAGACGAGGTTGAAGCAACTGTAGCGTACGACTTAGGCTCCAGCTTGTTTGTCCCGTCATTCTTGACGCTTTTCGAACCTGCCTGAAGAGTACGGGCAGTTCTGTTCCGATTTCTCTTTCTTCCTGCAGGCGAAAAATTCCGTGGCTCAACGTCCATGCCTGCCTCCACGACCTGTACCCCTGGAAGACAAGATGTGTTTGGAGTAGGCACCGCAATTTGAGTAGCACTCGATGTAGACATCTGGGGTTTTTTACCCCCTGCCTGCACAATCTTAGGTGAAACTGAGGGATTCGCATCACCAGGTGGTGTTTCCCGCTCAGGTGGTTGCACCTTGAGCGTCTTCACACCTCTCGGTTTGGGTGCGGAGGGTTTGCGCACTTTTCTTGCCCTCTTTCGCCCCTTCTTTTCCGGCCCAGGAGCCCGTGACTCGCCCTCCGTTTGCGGAGGGTCAACAATGCCATCCGAGGCATATGAGTCATCTATCTCAATGTGTACTGGAGCGTCCGGTAAGATGAACGACCCATCAAGGGATGGACTGTCAGCAGGGGGACAGTTCGCTACAGAGTCCTCCTTTGCAATACTCAGGTGATTCATAATCAAGTCCACTTTAGAGTTGAGCGAGGCAAGCCCGACTAACGCCTTCTCAACCAATGTGAACCTGCATGCCAGTGCCTTAAATTCGGCACAGATGATAGCCGGGCACTTCGCTTTTTGAGTGCAGCAATCATCACAGCTAAACAGGAGGTTTTCACTGGATGATAGCATAGCGTACTGGTTCGCTCGGAGGCCGGTGCAACCTTTGTGATACCAGCGGAAGCAAATATCACACTGCATACCACCAGATGAATCCGTAACTGGTCTCGAGCAGGCAGAATTGCCGCAAACTGCAGTGGACTCATCAATCGAGGACCCAAAGATTTCATCCGCCTCGGTTTTTATTAAGACGACCATGTTTAAAGTGGAAAACTGAGCTGAATTGAAAAACACGTATACGACCGTAAAACAACCACAAAAAGGCAAAACAGGGTGTGAAACGGGATTAAAAAGGGGAACAACCGCAAAAATTACCAGTAAGCGTCAAGGAGACGCTTTGTCCAGTAGCACTTGAATCGATCCAAGATATCTTGGATCAGAGAAAATTTGACGATAGTCAAATTTCGCTTCACGTGTTTATTCAAACACTGTTTTCTATGTGATCTCCATCATAAGTAAAGCAAAAATGACCCATGCCGAATATGGGTCTGTGTGAATGCACATCAATAGTCATTTAGTAATAAGCAAACAAAATACCGATATATAAGCACAAAGAAAGCACTATGTGTCTTGGTCTTTTAGGGTTGCTAGTGTAGCCGTGACATAACCACGCGACGAAAGGAGGTCAAACATGGCGTCTGCATCGAAACACAAGTCTGAAAAATGTTTGTCAATGCTTTGTTTGAAACGCTGCACTGAAGCAGAAAGAACAACGGAACTGGGCAACCAGTTCCAGAAATGTATCACACGTCGCGCGAAACAGTGAATATGAGTGACATTGTCCATACGTGGAACTTCCAGCTTGTAAGAATGCCCTCGGGTAATAGGTGCATCCACAACACAGAACATATGTCTCAGGTGAGGAAAATGTCTCAAGTGAAGGATTCTAAACGTTGTAATGAGGTCAATTCGTAATCTCCTGTATACTAGTGTATGGAGACGTAACTTGTGGCACCTCTGATGGTAAGATAAGCCTCGGAGCGTGGGGATCAGGCGGGTGACTAGGTGCTGGACTTTTTCCAGTTTTCTCATCTCACCTTTTGTACTTGGATAATAGGCCGGTGCCCCGTACTCTAAAAGTGGGCGCACCATGGAGACGTATAGCCTGACAGCAATTTCCTCCGACCAAACTTGGAAGGTCCGCTTTAATGACCAAAACATGCGAAGGCTGGAACAGTAGACCTTGTGCGTATTGTCTGACGATTTTAAGTCCCATCGGGATAGTACTCCTAGATCTCTAACCGTCGCAGCCGAGCACAGTAGACGTCCACCGACACTGTAAGTTCTGTCCCGACAGCACTTGCCAATGCGGAGCAATTCGGACTTTTCAGCATTCAGTGGAAGGCAGTTTGTTGATGCCCATGAGGAGATTGTATCGAGATCACTTTGCAGTATATCTTCATCGACGGGGGTCGATATTTCCCTCCAAACTTTCAAATCATCTGCGAACAGCGCGCAAGTAGATGTCAAACGTCCTGGTAAGTCGTTGATATGAAACAGAAAAAGCGTTGGGCCAAGTACTGTGCCCTGTGGCACACCACTAGAGGCAGTACACCATTTCGTTCGGTAGTCATTGACCTGGACGCACCACTGCCGCTTGTCCAGAAAAGACTGAATCCATTTTAGCAATTTTCCACCCACGCCATAACTGCTGAGTTTAGATAGCAAGATAAAGTGATTCACTCTATCAAATGCTTTGCTAAAGTCAATCAGCAAGGCATCAACGCTCCTACCCTCATTAACTGCTTCAATCCAACTGTGTCGGGAAGTCAGAAGATTCGTGGTACAAGACCGTCCTCTTAGGAAACCATGTTGAACTGATGTAAGCACACCGTGTGATTCTGCGAACTTAAGCAGCGCCTTCTTGACCACTTTCTACAGCAATTTGGCCAGGACTGGTGTCAGGCAAATCGGTCTATAGTTCTCTACTCTGCTTCTGTTTCCTCCTTTCGGGAAGGGCCGTACGATCGCTTGCTTCCATTCACGTGGGACGTTCCCTTGTGTCAAAGAGGCCTCGAACAATTCCGTCACAGCAGGTGCGATAACAGGTGCCAGCCTTTCGAGAAGTAGTGGATGCAAGCCATCAGGTCCTGGCGGTTTGGAGCAGTCTAGATTAGCAAGCAATCCCCTTACTTGGTCCTCTGAACAGGATACTGTATCCAGTTTGGCGTCGACTTGGGTACACTGAAATGCTGGAGAAGCTGAGTCGAACACTGCCTCGAAATGTGAATCAAGTGCGATAGCTCGGTCCATGTCGGCGGTCAACAGTGCACAAAGCGAATGATGTGGTTTATTCGCCGCTCCTTCGGTGTCCTAACAGCCAATATTTTTGTGAAGCTGTTGTCAGCTTTTGTGCGACCCTACTTAGAGTACTGTATCCAGGCTTGTCCACCTTGTCTTATAAGGGACAAAGTGGAACTGGAGAGGGTTTTGCGAGTGGGTACAAGGCTAGTGCAAGGAAAACGTGGGCAAACGTATCCCGAACGTTTGCTTAGCTTGGGTATGTACTCAATGCACTACCGCAGAATTAGAGGAGGCTTGATCCTCACTTACCGTATCTTAACGAGTAAGATCGGTCCAGACTTGTCCTGGCTATTTAGTCCCGCCAAGCTGCCTAGTCTCCGAGGTCACCCGTAAGGGATTTTCATGTCTGACAAATTTGCTTGTAGCTCGTGAAAGCTGGGCTGAGGCAGTAGACAACGGCCACGCCATCGACGTGCTTTTCGTTGACTTCTCGAAAGCCTTTGATACTGTCCCACATCAGCGACTCTCATTGAAGTTGAGATCGTATGGGATATCTGGAGCCGCCCTTAAATGGGTTTCTGCTTTCCTAGAGGGCAGAGAACAGTGTGTACGCGTGGGGCGTAGCCTTTCGCTTAGACAAGCTGTTCTTAGTGGCGTTCCGCAGGGCTCGGTTCTAGGGCCGTTGCTTTTCGCAATTTATGTCAATGACCTACCCGAGGAGCTTGGAGTACCGTCGCTATTGTTTGCTGATGACCTCAAGCTCTGGAATATTGTGGATATCCCTGGTGGCTCTGAGGCACTTCAGAGTGCTTTGGATAGGCTCTGGGATTGGTCAACCTTATGGTTGATGCCCATAAATCAGGCGAAATGTTTTGTCCTCCGCATTGGAGGTGCTAGTCCCCCCACGCGCTATGTAGTTGGTGGAAGTGAACTCCCTGTTGTCATTCAGCAGGTTGATCTAGGTATCACCCATACCTCCTTGCTTCACTCTGGGGAAAATTGGAGGAAGGCTGCTTGTAGAGGGTTCCGTATGATGTGGTTTATTCGCCGCTCCTTCGGTGTCCTAACGGCCAATATCTTTGTGAAGCTGTTCTCAGCTTTCGTGCGACCCCACTTAGAGCACAGTATCCAGGCTTGTCCACCTTGTCTTATAAGGGACAAAGTGGAACTGGAGAGGGTTTTGCGAATGGGTACAAGGCTAGTGCAAGGAAAACGTGGGCAAACGTATCCTGAACGTTTGCTTAGCTTGGGTATGTACTCAATGCACTACCGCAGAATTAGAGGAGACTTGATTCTCACTTACCGCATCTTAACGGCTAAGATCGGTCCAGATTTATCCTGGCTATTTAGTCCCGCCAAGCTGCCTAGTCTCCGAGGTCACCCGTCGAAGCTGCACAAACAGCGTTCTGACCGGGTAAGGACGGAAACTCGCTTGTCGCGTCGAGTTATTGAACGTTGGAACTCGCTTCCAGCGCACGTGGTTAGGGAGTCTACGGTAGAGGGTTTCGAGCGTCAATTAGATGCTCTAGGGTGACAGTACCAAACCTTCCCCTTCTCCTAACCGACTTGTATCTTCAACTTTCCCTTCGTTCTTTTTTAATCTTCTTCTCACCTTGGTATTATCATTATTTAGCTGACATTCCTCCTTTTCTTTTCTTAACTTACCCTTCACTCTTTTACTTCACATAAACCGGCCTGTTAGGGACTGCTGGGCAGGAAAATGTGGGCAGTAATTGGTTGGACAGGGTGTGATGCGGTCTTTGTTTTAGGCTTTTCAACATCTCAAGCAGACCTGTCAATTCCCTATCCAACGATACGCAATAGAAGGAACATTCACGGGATTATCCTATCGTTCCGGTCCCAACTGAACTTGAACTTGAAGCTGCACAAACAGCGTTCTGACCGGGTAAGGACGGAAACCCGCTTGTCGCGTCGAGGTATTGAACTATACTATACTATACTATACTGTCATGATAGCGAGAAAGATGTTGAACATCTATGTAGCTATATCTCAATGTAGGACATGTCCCACTGACACAGTGTTACCTGTAGTAGTGAGCTAGCCCAGGTGAAAAAAGTAAAATATTTACAAGCATAGAAAAAATCTCCATGTACTTACCATATATTCTTGGATGAACCACATGGAGTCCTTCACCAGCTCCGCCGCCTATTACGGATGGGCATCGTTTCGGAAGCTGCAGTTGGTGGATTAACGGGCTCCATGGGTTATAATCATTGAACGATTCCTTCGTCAGTTTCCTGTGAAGGCTTCGTCGAATCTGGCATTCACAAAGTGCGCGTCCAGGAATCGTTTGAATTCCGACACCGAGTTCGCTTCTACTATCCGCGAGGGCAAACGGTTCCACATGTTCACCACTCGCCGCTCAAGACACAAGGGATGAGCTACCCACTTGAGGTCAGGGACTACCAGTTTGTACTGGTGACCTCGTGTGCTGCTTGACGCACGGACATGGAGCAGTGGCCTCAGCATCGGATAAGCACCCAGATGCAATATCCGATGGGTCATGATGAGGTCCACTCGCACGCGGCGGTAGGCTAGAGTATACAGACCCAATTGTCTGCATCTTTCTTCATACGGCACACCCTGAAGACCGGGAATGAGCCGTGTGGCTATGTGTTGTACTCTTTCGAGCTTGTGTATCTCGCCTTTCGTCAACGGACAGTAGGCGGGTGAGCCGTATTCTAGCACCGGTCGTACAATGGATGTGAAGAGACGAGTGGCAATCTCTTTCGACCAGGTGCAGAAGCTACGTTTCAGCGCCCACAGCGAACGCAATGCTGTGCGATACATATTGTCCGTGTTGTCCAGTGACTTCATGTCGTAACGTTGTATAACGCCAAGATCTCTGACGCAATGCGTCGGGTGTAGAACTTGGCCGTCGAGAGTGTACGATCGGCCCGCTCCACCTTTACCGAGGCACAGAAGTAGCGAT